CATTCTTACAATTTTGTTAATATCAACCATCGATGTTTTTTTCTTGTCATTCCCTTTTTCATAATTTCCAACACCGTCCGAGTACCAACTTCGATGAAAACCCACGAGCAAGGGGTTAGCCTTGTCGGTGGAAAACGTGCGTGTTGTTGGCTATTTTTACTCTAAGGTCTTAACCTGCTCGTTCCCTTGCCATTTCAGAGCTTTATGGATGAAAACTGTAAGAGAAAGAAAAAATATAGATCATATTTATAAATTCTACTATACCATTCGCACAATTATTGAAGGGAAAATGACATAAATGCCCTATGAAGTTTCTAGAATTGGTCCGTTTAGTCCATAAAGTATTTTCATTGCTTTATGGGGGCACAAACTTGTTTTTGTCGGGTCTATTAGGTCATTTTGGAAGAATTGAAGGGGTAAACCGGTTACCCCTTGCTACATAAGCATTTCTTATGACCCCACTTCACTTGACCCATAACATTTTCCTCATTCTTCCCTCCTTCCCTCCATTTTCAGTGTAGCATGCCCTTCAACTTCTTTTCACCGCCACACCTTCGTCTTTTCAAAATCATCTTCTTTCCTCGTAGCCTAGTTCATTATGAATTCAAACCCATCAGTATCAAAGGGACACAATGTTTTCACTCGGGTATGTTGGATTAATTCAGAAAAATGACGATTTTAGGAGTAAGGGCATTTTAGGAAGTTTTTTAATTAATTCTTTTTGTTCCAATTTTATATATGAGTCAAATACTTATTGTTGTAGTATGAGTAGAGGATGTATGTAGCTTTGTTAATGTATTCCAGAACAAGTTTTGTATTCTCGTTTCTATGAAAGCCTGGTAATTAAGCAATTTTCCAAAAAAAACTTTTGTCCCATGTTTTTGCTTCTTATCCCTTGTTCTTTCCCAGTTTCTTTGTTTTTCCTTGGCACACAAGGTGCATGTGAGTAAATCATCTCCTGCGATAGTGTGATTATATCACTTGATATTTAAGCAACCACTTCCCTGTTTTATGCACAGTTAAGGTTTTTTCCATTCTGCAAGAATCAAGTGAATTGATTCCTACACAAACCATATTTTGTTAGAAAAAAATGCAGGTCTCTGCTAAGAGCTTAATCGAGGATGAAGCTGAACCTAGTCACTAGGTTAGTAAGTTAAAGTCTGACTCTTTTAAAACATCGCATTTGTATAACGAAAGTGACCATGGTGAAAATGATTTGATAGGTGGTGCTGGTTTAACTGTTAAGAGAAAGCGATGATAGGTTCGTCTCCGGAAAGGAGAATGGATTTGGAAATGGAAAAAGAGGAAAATGATAGATTTTCTCGTGATAAAACAAGAGAGGGTGATGGGTTTGTGTTTGGATCTCTCGTAACAAAAAAATGGTCAAAATGAGATATTACTTTCCAATGGTTGATGTGACAATTTTTGTCTAGTTATTAATAAAACTGGGGAAAACAAGTGAAGATGACTAAAGAGACAGGATCCCCGCTACTTCGTTCCCTCATAAAGACACGAAATAAGTTTAGGGACGCAAAGGGTTAACTCTAGAAAATTCGTAGGGCATTTATGTCATTTTCCCATTATTGAATTATTGTAATTTATTTAGAATACTTTATATTTTTGGAATTTAGATATATTTTTTTCCTTTTATCCTTGTTTTATATGGTGGACAGCCGCTTAGCGGGTTATAGTTTGCAAGACTCAAAAGTTTCGTTGACTTCATCATCTCCATCCTAGCAGATCCAGTTTCAATGGCTTCCAGTTCTTCCTCTACTATTATGGCCTCTGATGTTGCTGATGTTAGCAGCTATGGCGTTTTTCTAAGCTTTCGAGGGGAAGATACTGGTGATTCTTTCACGGATCATCTTTACAACGCATTAAATCGAGCAGGAATTGGTTGTTTTAGGGATAACGAAGAAATCAATAGAGGTGAAGAACTGAAGCCAGAGATCGAGAGAGCAATTAAACAATCTAGGGCATCAATAGTTGTATTGTCACAAAACTATGCAACTTCCACTTGGTGCCTTGACGAGCTTTTGATGATCCTTGAACAAAGAAGGGAGTGCAGTCATTTTGTTCTACCTGTTTTCTATCATGTTGATCCTTCAGATGTCAGGAAACAAAATAAAAGATTCAAAATTGAAGTCAAAGATTCTTCAAGGTGGACAGATCACAATGTGAATATGTGGAAGAAAGCTCTTATGGAGGTCGCTGACTTGGCCGGCATGGTTCTGTCCGGGTATGCTTCTTGTCTTTTAACTAGTGATAAACCATTTTTTTAATTTATATTATGTAATTAAGAAAAAAATGGTACACATTAAGGTTTAGTTTTGGAAATTAAAAGGTCTATTTGAATGATCGAAGATAGAAACGGATGATTACAGTCGATTCTTGACATTCAGAGTCAAGATATCTCCCAAATTGATTACATCGCCGAATACGCTCAACAGATAATGACCGGCTCACCCCAAACTTTTATTCTATCCTAAACTGACATGACTAGGAGAATTACAAAATTGCCCCCTCACTTATCCGTTATTACATACCTGCTACTACTGTACCAAAAAAAAAAAGGAATTATGTTGTCCTGTCGAACAGAACTGTAGGCCTCCAAAGTTAGAGTAATAGCCTTTGCACTTGAATATAAGGGCAATAATTTACATAATCCTGGTTAATTTATCAATATATGTTTAATTTTGATTAAATATGCACTTAAAGTTGCAATTACACTTAATTTAAAAATAATCTTCTATACCATTGCATATACTTTGATTATGTCGTGATTGAATTTTGATATTTTTTTTGAAACTTTATGGGAACAACTTTAAACAAATATTTGCTGGAGGGTACATCTGGAAGTTATTTATTCAATATTTTCTTTCTGTGTATTAGAGAATCCCTAAATGTCATCCCATTAGGCCGCTCCAACCCTACACTAGTTTTATACCAATAAATATATTTACCCATATGTTCTCTTTTTTAAACTTAATACAGATTGTAAAAAACACCCTTCAATTTTCTAGTTTTTTATATATTTATTTACATTTTTTGTGTAAACATTTATAAAATATATTATTAGTTATGTATTTATGATTAATTAATGGAAAAAATTACATAAATGGTCCTCGTGGTTGACACAATTGACCAACTTTAGTCTTTATGACAAATTTTGTACATAGGTGGTTCCTATAGTTTCAAAATTTTGCAAAGACGGTTCTTTTGACTAACGGTGTTAACTTTTTCAGTTAAGTCTCTCGTGAAAGGACACATTTGCCCTTCATAGGGACCATTTATGTACTTTCTTTCAGCCACAGGGACACATTTGAATATATTCTTTAATGTTTTTTTTATAATTTTTTGCTTACAATTTTTGATATTTTGTTCGTATGAGTTTTTTCTAATTTTTTTGACGTTTTGTTTTTATTAATATTTCTTCTGACTTTTTGTTTGAATAATTTCTTCTAATTTTTTTTGACGTTTTGTTCAAGTATATATTTTTAATGATTTTTTTACAAATATTCTTTTTAATGATTTTTTTACATTTTGTTTGTTTATATTTGTTAAAGACTTCATGGTCACTATAGTCATTATTATTAACATAATTCACTCACAATCATATTTTCTTATTTTTTTTGTTCTCTTAATATAGATAAGGTTATTAATTGATATTTTTTTAATTCAAATATATAACTATATAAAAAGCTTTATAAAAATAATAATTATACAACATTTATATATTTCTTTTGTTTGGAGCTTTAAAATTATATAAATATATAAAAAGCTTCACATACAATTATTTTTTTGTTCACATTTAACAAATTTTTTTATATATATATTTTTTAAAATGTTTATAAAAAGCTTTACAAAAATAATATTTATACAACCTTATATGTGTTATATATTTATAAAGCTTTTTATATAGTTATATATTTGAATTCAAAATAATAATTTTATAACCTTATCTATATTAAAAGAACAAAAAAAAAATATGATTGTAAGTCAATTAAGTTACGAATAATGACTATAGTGACCATGAAACCTTTAACAAATATAAACAAACAAATTGTAAAAAAAAATTATTAATAAATATATTTGAACAAAACAAAAAAAAATAGAAAAGATTATTCGGACAAAAAGTCAAAAGAAATATTAGTAGGTGTATTCGAACAAAACGTCAAAAAAAATTAGAATAAATTATACGAAGAAAATATCGAGAAATATAAGTGAAGAAAATAAAATAAAAAACACTAAAGAATATATTCGAACAAAACGTCAAAAGAATCTAAATTATAGAAATATAAATAAATTAAATAAAAATAATAATAGATATTAGACGAAGTTACATAAAAGGGTCCCTGTGAACAAAGTACATAAATGGTCCTTATAGCATGAAGGGAAAATGTGTCATTTCACAAGGGACTTAACTGAAAAAGTTAACACCGTTCGCCAAAAGGACCTTCTTTGCAAGATTTTGAAACCACATGGACTATCTATGTACAAAACTTGTTATAAAGACCAAAGTTGGTCAATTGTGTCAACAACAAGGACCATTTATGTAATTTTGTCTAAATAATATCATTTTAATACATAACATATGTAGATAACACCACTCAATTTATTAGTATTTTACATATTTATTTACATATTTTTTTGTGTAAAAAATTAATAAAATATATAATTAGTTTTATATTTATGATTAATTAATATCAATTTAATATATAACATAAAATTAGGGTTAAATTTTACATTTACGATTAATAATATCTTGTTAAAAATATAACTAGAATAGAATAAACATAAAAGACGAGGGACTAAAAGTGACATATGAATGTTTTACACCATTTTGTTGTAGAAGAATACTATAATACCAAATTTGGTTTATATTATTTATTTACACCAAAATGGTGTAGGAAATGGAGTGGGGTTGGACACAACTCCACACCATTTTGGTGTAAAAAATGGGTTTTGGCGTTGGGTTGTAGATGCCCTAAGCTTGTTCACTTTCTTGTGTTATTCAGGTCTGAGACAAAGTTTCTGAATAAAATTGTTGACAATATCTAAAGTAAACTGGATCGTAAAGAAGTTTGTCTTCCAATCAATTTAACAGGGATGGCCACTCGGTACAAGGAGATCGATTCCCTGTTAAATGGATCTAATTTTCAATATTTAGCAATTTGTGGCATGGGTGGAAGTGGGAAGACGACATTGGCCCGGTACATTGTCTACTCAAATTGCCAAAATTTTGAAAGCATTAGACATCGGTAGTCGATGTAAAGAACCACATGATTTGCTTCAGTTACAAGAAAAACTTTTTGGAGATATTTCAGGAGGCAAGAAGAGAAAAATACCTAGTGTTTGTCAAGGAACATTAAAGATTGAAGAGGTCTTACGAGTGAAAAAAGCACTTATTGTTCTTGATGACATTGTTGCACCCAGCCAATTGGTAGCTTTACTGGGATCCGGGTATATTAACAACAAAGCAAGATAATAATAACAACTAGGGAAAAAAATATAGGTAAATGGTTTGAGTCCAGATCTTGGAGGAAACCACTTGGGTTGTGGTGACTTGGTAAGGCATGTGGAAGATATGGTGGATAATCTATTGACCCATGTTCAAATCCTGGCACCACTCAGCCCTTGTGGCCATGGAGGTTCACCTGCAGTGACTCCAGGGCATGAGGCAAAGCCTCATGTTTGCAGCGGGGGATTAGTCGGTGCGCGAAAGCTGGCCCGGAAACCCTCGTTAGGGAAGTTCCCTTTCCAAAAAAAAGAGTACCAAATGATGAATCATTAGAGCTTTTAAGTCGACATGCCTTTGGATCCAAAACTCTGATAGAAGGTTATGAGGAGCTTGCAAAGCAGGTATTGCAGTATTGTGAAGGGAATCCATTGGCTCTTGAAGTTTTGGGTTCCTCTCTATCAGAGGATAATAGAATTCTATATTGGGAAAGTACATTACGCTTATTGGGGAAGAGAGATTGATTCTGGAATTCAACGAGTACTCATTAGGAGCTACAATTCTTTACCACATGACTGTAACAAAGAGTTGTTTTTGCATATTGCCTGTTTTTTCGTTGGAAAAGACATAGATTACATGGTAAAGGTACTGGAGAATGATTATTCTGCATTATCTGGGATCAAAACTCTAACAAGAAGATGCCTTATATCTATTTCACCAAACAAAAAACTAATGATGCATCCACTACTTCAAGAGATGGGGAGAACAATAGTCCATCAAGAATCACCAAAAGACCCTTCAAACCGTAGTAGAGTCTGGCGTAACAAGGATTCTTATGATGTTCTTCGAAAAGGAAAAGTGAGATGCTTCCTATCATGTGTATGTTGAAGTTTGTTTTCCACATTCCATCTAAAATTTGGTTGTTTTCTCCTCTTTCTGTTTAGGGTTCAAATATAATGGAAGGTCTAGCACTTGACATGCGGTTGTTAAAGGAAAATAAGTACGCATTCAAGGTAATACATAACTAAAACTAATGCATGTTCTTTATATGTAAAGAAAGAACTATGAAGAACAGAAGATGCAGATCATACTTGTTGTCTATTCTTTTCTTTTCAAATGTATTTACTGTTAGGATCGAGACACTTAACACACGACTCTAAACACACACACACAACTCACGAAAAACAAGAACACAAGGATGACCACGAGGGATTTAACGTGGTTCGGTCCTTCTCTGACCTACGTCCACCGGTAACTAGGAATTTATATTTATTGGTGCTAATCTGCACTCTTTCTGTGTTACTCTAGATACAAGTTTTACAAATACAGATGAATCTCTTATATAGAGATGGAAATCAGAAGTAGTCAAAAAACACAACCGGGTTTTCAGCCAACCTTTGAAAAAACTTCACATTCAACAATTGTGGCATCACATTCAACAATTGTGGCTTCACAACTTCAACAATTGTGGCTACACATTCAACAATCTCCCACTTGAAGCCACAGAACAATCTTCACCTGTGCTTCAACTGTGCATCTGTATTTTAAAAAAAATTGATCTTAACTCCTTCCTTGTTACCCTGGCCTTCTCTTCAATTAACCTGAAGGCCAGTTGAAGCTTTCGTTAGCTCCAACACATCAGTCATGGCTAAGTCTGCTACTGACATGTTCTCTGTCTCCACCGGCTCCCACTGAAATGAACTGCCCGATCCTGGAACATCCTGAGAACAAACGACACTCTCCATGTGAAGCAGATAATCTGGAGAGACTTTTACAGATGGAATACTGGTTCTCTTAACCCACTGTGTTCTGGGTATTCTAGCTGAAACAAAGCCCATGCTCCCACTGCTATGAATGCCCTTGACTGGTTTTCTGAACCGTTCCAAACACGTTCAACCTGAATCTGACCTGTGACTCTGGGTTTGCCATCTGCAAAGCAAACCTTCTTCTGTCCACGAGACTATGAACCGGATTTTGTTTTTCTTCTGAACTGGGACGGTTACTCCCTCAGACGGTAAACTGACCATATATAATGAACCCCTCTTATGTCCACGAGCTATCACAAGATTTCCTTTGACAACCTTCCACTGCCCATTCCTGAACTTAACCTCGTGTCCCCTGTTCATCCAACTGCCCAACAGAAATCAACTGTTTCTTCAGACTTGGAATTACCCGGACATCCTTCAAAGTCCATGGACCGACTGGAGTCTTCAGATCTAAGTCACCTATGCTCGTCACATCAAGAACCTCATCGTTCGCCAGTCTTACCTTACCAAAATCCCCTTCTTTCAGATTCCGCAGTGCTTCACGGATGTGGGTAGCGTGAAATGAAGCACCCGAATCCATAACCCAGGAATCCACATTGCTCTCCACACTACAGATCAAAATATCATCATCTGAATGGTCTACTGCAACGTTAACTTCTTTCTTGTCTTTTAGACATTGATTCCTGAAATGTCCAACCTCTTTACAGTTCCAACAAGTCACATCATTTCGAGTCCTCGACTGACTCCTTCTCCTGTTCCCGCTCCCACTACCTCTGTTATTTCTTCTACCTCTGACCGCATTCAATTGTTCACTTGATGATTCCCCAGAATTTCTTCGTCTGATGTCTTCGCCTAGAATTAAATCCCGAATTCCCTCAAAAGTGAGCTCTTTCGATCCTGCGGAACTAGTAACTGTTCCGGACCAACTGTCAGGTAATGATGATAACAGTAGTAAAGCTTGAACTTCGTCCTCAAATTTTATTCCCACTGACCCAAGTCTGGATAAAATCGAGTTCAAATTGTTGATGTGTACTGTAACTGAACTTCCTTCCCTCATCCTCGTGTTGACTAGCTCCCGAATCAGGAAGACTTTATTTGCTGCCGATGGCTTCTCGTACATATTAGACAATGCCTCCATTATTCCCTTTGCCGAGGTCTCCTTCAAAATGTTGAAGGTAACATCCTTTGACAACGTCAGTCTAATAAATGCCTTGGCCTTCTTATCCAAAGTCTCTCAGTTTGCCTGTGTCATCGCCTCCGGTTTTTCACCTAAAACTGCGTCCAAGTCTTTCTGTACGAGCAAATCTTCAATTTGCATCTTCCACCAACCAAAATCTTTCCCATCAAACTTCTCAATCTGAAGCTTACTGCTTTCTGCCATTTTCTGAAAGAACAATGACCTATCTTGCAATTTTCTGGAAATTCAGGGGCCAAATTGCAAATTTTCAAATCTGCTACAGTGTCGTCTTCTCCGGCGAATTGCTACAGTGAATCCGGCAGCTACAGTACTTTGACCGGTGATTTTAGGAGCCTTCCGGTGGTCGAAAAAATTCAGAAAAAATATTTTCGGAATCTGCGGAACGAGACCTTTCCAACAGTCTACACCAAATTCGTTTTTGAGAAAAAAAATTTCGACCAAAAAACAGAAAATCACCCTCTGGAGCTAAAACCAAAGCTCTGATACCACTTGTTAGGATCGAGACACTTAACACACGACTCTAAACACACACACAACTCACGAAAAACAAGAACACAAGGATGAACACGAGGGATTTAACGTGGTTCTTTCCTTCTCTGACCTACGTCCACCGGTAACTAGGAATTTATATTTCTTGGTGCTAATCTGCACTCTTTCTGTGTTACTCTAGATACAAGTTTTACAAATACAGATGAATCTCTTATATAGAGATGGAAATCAGAAGTAGTCAAAAAACACAACCGGGTCTTCAGCCAACCTTTGAAAAAACTTCACATTCAACAATTGTGGCTTCACATTCAACAATTGTGGCTTCACAACTTCAACAATTGTGGCTACACATTCAACATTTACGTGTTTTGTCATTTACTCTTCGAATAAAACTAGCTAAAGCTATAATTCAGTTCGAAAATCATACCCTAGTCAAATTTTGTACAAAAAGGCAAGAACGAAAAACCATGAAAATTCTCAATTGGTACTCATGAAATAGAATCTAATAATTAGGGAATCTTTGGTGAATTTATTTCAGCTTACTATCCCTCTTCACGCTAAATTTGCAGTTATTTAACCTCAAGACAGATGCACTCGAAAAGATGGATAGACTAAAATTGCTCCAGCTAAATTTTGTGCAACTCAGTGGATCCTACCAGAATTTTTCAGAGGATTTAAGATGGCTCTGCTGGCTTGGATTTCATTTAAAAACCATACCCTCTGACTTATTCATGGGAAACTTGGTGGCTTTAGATATGAGCTATAGCACCTTGGAAGTATTTGAACCCCATATGGTAAGGACTATGGAATCCACTATCCACTTTTTGTTGCTTATACTTTTAGCTTCTCAGTTGTAATGATCCTTAGCTACATAAATCTTGTTACTTTTGCAACAGGCTCTTCAATCACTGAAGATTCTAAATCTTAAAGACTCGTACAAGCTATTTGAAATCCGCAACATGTACATGATCCCTCAACTTGAGACTTTGATTCTTTGGAACTGCCACAGTCTAGTTCGTGTTTGTAAAACCATGGCAGACCTGAGGAGTCTTGCACTATTGAACATGACAGGGTGTAAAAGCTTCTGGGCAAGAATAAATTTGCTAATACGTGTAGAAGCTTTTGGTGGACGAGTTGCAGAACAACCTAACTTTTCCTTCTTACCACATTCATTACAACAGCTGTTCCTCAAGGACTGCAATCTTGAGTGTAATGATGCTTTTCCTTTGAAATTCAGTGTTCAACCATCTATACAGTACTTGAATTTAGGCAATGGTCTGTTTGAGTTTCTGCCATGTTATGATCATCTTAAGAATCTTCGGGTCCTTGACTTGAGTTTATGCTCAAGACTTAAACAGCTTATATTTCTCCCAAGCACACTTGCAGAATTGTATGTATATTACTGTACATTGCTGGAGAGAATAACTTTTGAATCACCTAGATTCGCATTCCAGTGGTGTTGATTTGATGTACAACCCCAAAGTCTTCGGCAAACCTGAAGTTGATAAAGTTGGGATATGGTTAAGTTATTGGCCAATTGGAAGCACATTGCACACTGGAGATAAAGTTAATGTCTCTATTGTTGTGTTGAGTGGACTGAAAGTACACGCATGTGGTGTGAGCCTTGTTTACGCTGATGATGAAGTGGCTTCAGAGACCTTGGAAAGTAACATGGATTGGGTAGAAGTTCTTGGAAGAGAATTCTCCAGTTTTCAACTAAGCACAGGAGCATACTATCTTTGTCGCCGTGATTTCTTTGAGTTAATGGAGGTTGGCAGACTGATTCCTGATTGGCTTAGAATTTTAGTTGGTGATGTCATCGACTATGCAGGTATGTCCCTCTTTTCAAGCTATGTGCAATTAAATTTAGTGCTGCCAATAGAGAAAGTTCATCTTATGACACATTGTGACAGAGGTACGAGGATGGAGAAAGACAGGTCGACCTAAGCAGTTGAATCCATCATTTACAGAGTTGAAGACCGTTAGATGCATCATCCATGGTCCTGAATTGGTAAATTTGCTTTATTAATCTTGATACTTTTAGATTCACCATATCAATTCTTACTACTCTCCCCTGTTACAAAATCAAGGGGTTACCATAATAAATGCCATCCAGTTGGTAAAAATGTCTTTTCTATACTCTTTTCCATATATTACATGTGATAACAGAAGTACTAGTTTAACCTTTTGGTACTTGATGCTGATTTGGTTATAATTTGGGTACTAATTTGGTTCTGCTTATATGGCTCTGATTGTTTTTTATGAAAACAAATAGGAGGATATTTACAAGATCACAGAGATGTCAAAATTATCTTTAGTAGATATAACGTCAAGCAGGCTTGGGGAGACAATGAAATCTGCCACATCATCTAAATCGCTTGATACACCAAAAAGGGTAATTAAATATTAAATTTAGAACATAAATAAAAGAATTTAACTTTTCCTTGTGTTGGAACTTAACTCACTACCGTCAATGCACAAAACCTAGAACCAACAGACTTGGACATGTCTGAACTTGTGGATCTTGAATCAAGATTTTCAAAAGTATGGTCTGGGAAATTAACCCCTTGAAAAAAAGCTAAGGATGATTCAACAAAAGAATGCCATTTTTTTTTTTTGTTTTAGTGAAATTAACCTCGTCCCTAGAACAATATCTTTCTGCTTCTATGCAAAAATTGGATACTTGATGCTAATTTGGTTATGATTATGTAATAAATTGTTGTGCTAATGGTGTTTATGAAAAAAATAGGAGGCAATTTACAATATCGTGGAGATGTCAAAATCATCTTCCGAAGATAAAAATATAGGCAGACTTGGGGAGACAACGACAGGTGCCACATCGTCTAAATTTGGAGATACAACAATAAAGGTAACTGAATATTATCTTAAATCAAGATCAATTCATTTCCATAAGTATAGACTGTGAAATTAACCCCATGATAAAAGGCTGTTGATGATTCAACAAAAACAGCATTTTTTGTTTTCTAGTTTTTCTGATTTTGATCTGTGCTTCCTTGTGGCTTGAAGATTACATGGTGGTTGAATCGCACAAATAGGATTTTTTTCTGAAATTAGAACATGGACTCCGTGCTCCATCTGTTGCAAAATCAAGTATGGTTGGAGCCAAATTAGTGAAACTAAGTCCTCTAGTTGAAAGCTAACCAACCAATCTTGCCATGCATGCTTTATTCATCTTTCGAAACTTTGGACTTTCCACAAGGTTATGTTAGGTTTACGATCCACACACACAAGTTAAAGATGTGAGGAAAAAAAATAAAAGAACACAGGAATTATGTGTTCCACACAATTATGTAATCATTCTACATCCACGGCCGAACTATAAAGATTTCTTATTGGATTTTGTAATAGGGTTTACAAATACATGGGATCTATAAATAGAGAAAGTTTTAGGGCCTAAAATTTCATACGGGCAAACTAGAGAGATTTCTTATTGATTTTCGCCATTAGACACAACTCAACATGACTTACCAGCACGATTACTCTTTGCAAAAATAGTTCCTTCCCACCCCTTGCAAAGCCAAGGAGCCTATCATGGTCTCCCTTTAGCCATTAATTACTATTGGCTTTTTGGTTATTAGGAAGCTACTTTCTTCTTTTTCAACAAGAAGTTGCCCGTTCTCTGCTTCGCAGGGAATGCGGACGAGGTTTTGTGTACTATGTTCTAGTCACAAAAAATCAAAATACTACAATTCATCATTTTCTCGTTTTGTGTGCATGGTTTCTTTGGGGACCAAACATGCCGACATACGAAAGTCTAGGGACCAAACCTGCAAAATGGAAATATACAAAAGTTGAAGGGACCAAACTTGCTGACATTCGAAAATCTAGGTACCAAAACTTGCAAACATGTCAATATACAAAAGTTGAAGGGGTGGAAATTGTAATTGGTCAAATTTGAGGGGGTCAAAGTGACATTTTACAAAGTAAAATGGGTGTAAATTGTCATTTTACGAAGTAAGGGCTGGAAAATGCCATTCTACGAAGTAAAGGGGTGGAAATTGCCGATGTACGAAAGTCTAGGGACCAAATCTGCCAACATAAGAAACTTTTGTGGCCAAAGTATGAAATAAGAAAATAGATTTGTAGCCAAAATGTGAAATAAAAAACTTTTGTGGTGAAATTGTAAAAACACAGAACTATACTATTCATAAGGGAATTGCTTTTTATTATATATAATAATGTTAAAATGTTGCCTTTTCTAGAATAAGGATCACAATTTGAATTTCAGCTAGCTAGTTACAATATGTGCATGCAATTGATAGCAAAACTTTCTGGTTTTTATCATGTTTTGATGCCATTTATTGGACCTGCATTTTTAACGATCTTATGCTTTTTCACCATCGTTCAAACCATATAAAATTTCTATAAGGTTACATATTTCTTTTTACAAAATGAAAAACAAGTGGTAGACAACTTACTTCATTAATCACCTACTGTGTTTTTCATCAGATTGCAGAAGAGAAACCGAGTAATTTCATCCCCATTCTTCGTTCTGGAGAGTGGTCTGATATTGGAAGTAGACCCTATATGGAGGATACTCATATATGCATTCAAGACCTAGCTAAAAAATTTAGTAATAAGATTCTTGGTGAAGAAAGCGTTTCATTTTATGGAGTCAGTTCCTTTTGTGATTTTGATAAATGAGAAATTTATTTCCCTGGTCCGTAAGATGTGTAAAGCTAATACTCGGTTTTTTTGGGGGGAAATAGGTGTTTGATGGGCATGGAGGAAAGGAAGCGTCAGATTTTGTGCGCGATAATTTGCCAGGAATCATGGTTGCCGATGCTGATTTTCCATTGGAACTTGAGAAAGTAGTCACAAGGTCGTTTATGGAAACGGATGCTGCCTTTGCTAGGTCATATGCTCTCGAATCCACTCTTTCTTCTGGCACAACTGCACTTGCTGCTCTGATCTTCGGGAGGTTAGTTAATTGTGTTCTTGATTTATATATGTCTTTCATAATTTATTTATTATTTTTGTTTTATAAAATGTTTTGGATGGTCAATGAGTGTGGACTTGTGGTTTAGAGTTAATCCTAGAAACGTTTTGACTATTGGCCAAATGCCGTAAACACATTTCAATTACGAAAAAGACGAATTAACATGGGGGCGTTGAGGGGGGCAAAGTAGACATCTGCACAGGGTCTAACTTTTTTATTATATATTATATATTTTTTTTATTTAAAAATAAAAACTTATAATAACGATAAGGGCCCTTTTTTTCTTTGAGACCGCCCTGCAAATTAATCTACAAAGATTGATAATATAGTTTCCGTGTAATGATGACGACGGGTAAATATGTAATTTAGATAATAAAAAAAGTTACCAAATGTTTTATTTCATGAGGACTATCTTGATTGGAGCTTGTTTGTTAAAATGTGAACTTAGTTTGTTTGATCAAAAGGCTTACGATTACTTCTCTTTAACAGGTCCCTCCTCGTTGCAAATGCTGGAAATAGTCGGACAGTTCTCTCTCGAAATGGACGAGCTCTTGATATGTCAAACGACCATACACCAATCTACAACAAAGAAAGGATTCGGGTTGAATCCTTAGGTGGCTCCGTTGAAGACGGCTACTTGAACGGCCAATTAGCTGTCACTCGAGCTATTGGTAACTGGGACATGAAAGGGCTCAAAGAAATGGGCGACCACATCAGCCCATTGATAGCTGAACCAGAGCTCAAACTCATTACTCTAACCAAAGAAGACGAGTTTTTGATCCTTGGAAGTGATGGGATCTGGGACGCGATCAGTAGCCAAAACGCAGTGGACTTTGTGAGGCGGCAGCTGCAGCAGCACAATGACATCAACAGGTGTTGCATGGAGTTGGCAAAGGAAGCCTTAAGGAGAGGATCATTTGACAATTTGACAGTGGTTATTGTGTGTTTTCAGCTGGAACCGCCACCACAAGTGGTGGCACAGAGACGCACCACAGTCAACAGGCCCATTTCTGCAGAAGACCTGCTGAAGCTTTAATCCCTTCTTGAAGAGTAAAAATTGATGTTATAGTTGCTACCAATTTGACGGTTCCATCATTGGAACATAGATCCTTGCCCTTGGTCTTAAACCTTTACATCGCGTTGATAATATAAAAAATGAAATTTTAATAAAAGTAAGAATATAATTCCAAAATGCAAACATACAAAAAAAGTTTGATGATCACTCAGCATTAAGCATGAAATTGCAAGGATAAACTAAATAAAGACTATCTACGTTGCGTATTGGGCAATGTCAGAGTAATCAAGTTTCAAATACGTATCATGTTTTATGAAATTATGTAAATTGTAACATGATTATTATTAACTAGTATTTTATCCGCCACCATGGGTTATGACGGCAGTAATGGATTTAAGAAGTAGTAGAAAGTTAATTGTTATTTGTTGAAAGTAGACGAATAGGTTGTTTTTATTTTCATTTCGTTTGCGTATAGGCGTCTTTTGATCCTATAAGCATTTATTTGTCCTACATACAAGTACTTAAAAATAACCATTTAAAATAAACAACTTGCTATTCTTATAAATATTTTACAAAACTTGTGATGTCTAGAAACTCTATTACAAAAAGTTACGCCCCAAAACAAAAAAGCAGTCCAATTGGAAAAAAAAATCAAATAAGGTATGAAGAATGCTTCAGATAAGTTTCATAAACAAATGAGTGAATATGGAAAATACAAAAAGTGGAAAGAGAGGAAAATCACAAGGAAAGGCGACTGAATTTTGTATTTAGATTAGATATAATGTATACTGTTATGTTAGTCCATTTAGTCTTTTATATATAAGTATAAGGATGGGTTCAACACATAACCGAATAACATAACATAACCACTTCATTATCGTGAGAGTATATTTTTTCATTTAGGGTACGATGGTAAATTAAAGAAATATTATTTAACTTTGAAGAAAATAATTAAATCCATTAAATACTTCAATGGAGCGATCAATGAAAATAAAAATTAATTAAACCCAATCCAAACTATAATACAAATGAACAAATCGATTTTTCCCTCAAATCGAACGTAAACCGGTAGATTAACATGTGTAGATTTTCCTTTTAATAGTGATATGAACATATGTTAATCTATTAACATATGTTCATAAACGAACATAAGTTTATAAATGAACATAATTTCATATTTACACTAAGCATACACAAGAATGGAGGAGGATATTCATTTATAAACATCTTGACAAATTGTGAAAACATAACGTATTCACAGAAGTAGAAGAAATGTAGGATTTCTTTCGATGTGACTTTTAATCAGATTGAGAGAAAGAGCACAATATGTTTATCTATAAACATAAATATGCTCATAGATGAACATAAGCCAAATGTGGAACATATATCAACTATTCTCCTCACTGCTAGCCTATTTCCAAGAGAGGGAAGAGAAGGTTTTACACTTTGGACAGCACATGCAATTTATCCGGTAAATATGAATATATGTTCATTTACGAATATATCTTCATATATTAACATATATTTATAAATGAAAATAAGTTCCTATTCAAAATCAATTACTTGTGACCTGAACACGGCAGCAATCCTCCATCGACACTTGTCTGATAGTACCATTAATCACAAGCAAACCATCATCTTTACAGTAGCCTTCATTTCCAGAACTCGCTGAAGTATATAAAAGATCATATGTTCATATACGGACATATGTTTATATAGGAACATTTGTTCATAAATGAAGAATGTTCGTATATGAACATGCATTAAATCCCTTGTTACTTCAGCTATACACCATCTCCATCTTCACTTTAACAACCAACAAAAACCATCGTTACACAGTCATCATCACATCATATCTCTATGGGTCTATGTAACACCCGTTACTAGAATGGATCGGTGGATGATATAAAGGAGTCTAAGGCATGTTTTTTGAGGAAAAACCATATGCCACGACGTGACGCATGGAGTCTCACGACGTGACATGGAAGTTTTGGAACGCGTATTTTGGGTGAGCGCCACCACGTGGCAAGGGAATGGCCATGACGTGCCGAGCATTGCAGCCAAAGCCCATGTATTTTTAGGGTTTCTCCCACATTTAAGCACCTTAACTCTTACTTTAGGGCTTCCTCTTCAGCCTCCATCTTCCCAAAATGAAACCCTAGTCCATCTTCCATGGTTATGAGCTTGGTGGCTTGATTTTGAAGTGGTTCCTCTTGTCTTAGTGAAGCTTGTGAAGAAAGGAACTCATTCTTGGGGCAAGGAATTACTGTTTTGAGTGTATGGTTAAATTAAAAAGCATATGACTTTAAAAATCATTATTTTATTATTTAGTGTGTGTTTTTGTTATAGTTGTTATTCTGGTTCTAAGTATTTTTATTAGCTTTTTGTATTTTTAATCAGAACATATAAAAATAAAAAGTAAAATGACAAACTATGTCATCTTGCGTCTCGTCGTTTATGGTTTAAACGACAACTAAATGCCGGATTCATCGTTGGTGACGGTGGATGAGGGGAAACAACAAGAATTCTCTTGTTGATGACACCAAGTTTGATTTTCTTATTAGAAAAACCACGGCGTTTGATTTTTTCATATTCAATTCCCCGCACACTTTCTCCGTTGCTTCCACTTCTTATTCTATCATGGCTAATGGCTGCAGTTATGACGTGTTTCTAAGCTTTAGAGGCGAAGATACTCGCAATTCTTTCACGGGTCATCTCTATGCGGTGTTAGTGCAAGGTGGACTTCGCGTTTTTAGGGATACAGATGAAATCAACTTCATCAACAGAGGTGAAGAACTGAAGCCGAAAATTAGGAGAGCAATCATGGAATCCAGGGCTTCAGTAATTGTCTTGTCGGAGAATTATGCGACTTCCACACGGTGCCTTGACGAGCTTCGGTTGGTTATTGAGCAACGAAGGGAATGCAATCATTTTGTTCTACCTGTTTTCTATGATATAGACCCCATGGATGTTAGAAAACAAGATAAATCTTTTGGCATAAAAGTGCAAACTTCTACAAGGTGGACTGATGATAACGTGAATAGGTGGAAGGTAGGTCTTACTGAGGTTGCTGATTTGAAGGGCATGCACACTACTACAAAAAAGGACATAAGACCCGCCATATAGGACCCGGTTTTTAGAAAAACCGGGTTATATTTTACAGGAACCGGGTTTTATAAGGGAGATATCTATAAGACACGGTTCAGAATTAGTGACCTGGTTATATGCCAAATTAAACAAGCCGGTTTTTATCTATACAACCGGGTCCTTTAGTTTTAATGTCATATGACCTGTTTTTTAGAATAGAACAGTGTTCTATGCTTTGCCTCCAACATCTTTACTTTTCCTAATGAGGGTTGTAGCAATTCTTTAACAACCAGGTCGTTTCCAAATCACAACATTTGGTTTTCTATGTTTTTAACACAAACCTAGATTCACATCCAAAGAGACTGCTATATTCAAATAAGCCTATGTACTTATCCATTAAAATTTTTATTTTCCTCTTATACAAAATACCCTCTTTAGTTATATTTTAAAACTCTTATTCATCATATTTTGCACAATTATGAAGATATAGTTATTACTTCTTATTCATGGATTTTTTTGAAAAGCATAAGTTTATTAGTGAGAATGTGAACCAGCATGGAGAGAGTTAAACCCAACACATTGAAGTCAACATGTTATTAAGGGTAAAAAAGAAGTTGACTTCTATTTATTCCACAAATTTTCCCTTCTATAAAATTCAACATAATGGGACAAATATGTAGATTTGTATTAAAATTAAACGTTTTAAAACAAATTTGTCACTCTGCTCACCTATTTTCCCACCTCAATTATAAATACATGTGTGTGAATTTCACTGTTCTTGTGTATATCTCAGCACAAGTGTTTTACCAATTGCAAAAGCACCCTATGCACATCGAGTGACCATATTAATAAAACAACATTTGGTCATAAGTTTCCATATATATCCTACACTCATTATCATCCACATCTTTACAACTGTTATTCTTATGATCACCATTGTCCCTCAATCCAATCAAATCATTCTTGAGTTGTTTGAGCTAATGGTATATAAGAGTTGCAAATATCATCAAGACTCAAGAACAAAAATGTGAGGTTCTTCTCAAAAATCAAGAAGTAAATGATAACACACCCTAAATATATTTAAGCCACAACTTTTCTTTATTGGGAATAACAGTTTGAATTCCTTCAGCATAAACTTGCATTTTTGTCATCAAGATGAACTAAATTACAATCCATTGTCTTTTTTTTAATCAATACCTAACCAGTCAATCAAATAAAGCAAGAATGATGCAAAAGTATCATACCATAACTTCATTTGAACGAAACTCACTTCATCAGTTGGAGGGAGAGCAGCTGCTCTGAGAATTAAAACAAAACAAAAAAAAACCCGCATCTAACACAAGGGACTATCGTATTATTAAGAAAGATTGGAGAATGAGTATCGTGTAAGACCTGTGAAACGAAAGAGAATGAAGAACATATAGTAGGAGGTAGAAGGGTGAGGGAAACATGAGAATTGAGCGCTAAGGCAGACCAAGTATGGATGGGAATGGAAAGATCAATTCGTCGTAGATGCCAATAGTCTGGTCGCCCTTAACGAAGGCTGGAAGTCTCGACTTCAAGGATAGTCTTCAACGATGAGATATATTAGCCAAATCAGAGATTCAATTGAATCAAAGTCTTAGAAAACAAGTCTATGATATAGAGAATCGAGGGAGGTGAAGTATTCGAATCACCGAGGGTTGGAAATGGGAGGAGTGAAAGTGGGAGCAATTTAGGGATAATCTAATTTGTTTGTGTATGTATATTTGGGGGGAAGAAAAAACCATTTGGAGGGAAACGAAAATTGATTTTGGAGGCAAATCAATGACATAATTTGGGAATAAAGGTAATATGTAATTATTTATTATATATTTTAATTATTAAAATTATTTATTAAATATGTGATAGAGTATTATTTTTTGTTTTAGGTTGTTATTTTTTGTTATTTTTTTGTCATGTTATTAGTACTTTGTTAATTAATTTATGGCTATTGATTTTGCTATAAATAATAGAATTTAATATTGTTATTATATATTAAAATACGGGACTATTTATTCAAAAAGTGAGTTTCGATTAACCATCTACAATTACATTTATTATGTTCATGTCTTTTATACATGGTATTGATAAGGTTTAGTTTGAAATATGGATGGATCATAGTTATTGAATCATAGTTATTTGACCTGTTTAATTGGGGTTTTTAGATTTGCCAACTAAAATCTAATGAAT